GGGGAGGCGGGCAGGGAGGAGGATTGGAGCGGTGGATGACGAAGGCCTCCTGTCGATGCTGCCGCCCTCGGCCCTCCCGGCGCTGGCGCCTGCCGCGCGCGCCGCGGCCAGGCCGGCCGGGACGCGGATGGCTTCCCGCACGCTGCCTCGGGCCGTTGCGCTCTCCGCTGGCATTCGCCGCTGCAGCGGCAGCGGCTCCCGCAGCAGCAGCAGCAGCAGCAGTGGCGGGGGCGAGCCAGCGTGGACCGTGCCGCTCGTGGCCGGCGCGGCCGACGGCAGCCTGGCGCTGAGAGGCGGTGCCGGCGAGGCGTCGCGGCTGGAGAAGGCCTGGCGCCTGAACCACAGGGCTCAGGAGTCGGGCGGCGAGACTAATACCTCCTCCGAGTTTCTTAGTAAGCGTCGGCGGGGCGTCACCCCCGCCGACAGCCACACTCGACCCCCGTCGCGGGCAGCCACCACGCGCCGAAAACGCTCCGACCCCCGTCGCGGCGCGACCGCGAAGCCAGGTTGAAACCGTCGGGGCGGTCCCCCCCCCACGCTTATTGAGACGCCCAGGATGTGTGGGCGGCGCCGAAAAACGGGGTCGTCTGCGCCGACATTCGCGCGCAGGCTTCCGCGTAAGGTCGCGCGGAGGCGCCCTTTGTCTCCACAGTGGCGTGCCACCGGCGTAAGCCGCGGCGTAAGGTCGCTACGTCATCTCGCGTCAGACCCCCTTCTGAGCGTCGCTCATGTCGCCCCCACCGCACTTAGGGACCACATCCCGAGAGTAGTTTCGAGCACCCCGGAGGCGTCGAAGCAGCGTCTGCCCGAGACGCCGGCGGAGTGTCGAGCGAGCATCACCTCCCATGGCCCGACACGCGACTTTTGTCCCAGGGGTGTCGCCCTTCAGGCCCCTCCAGGCCCAGGTACTCGAAATTCTTCTGGTGCTCGAAAGTCGTTTTGGCGATCCAGGGTAGAGCGGATTGGAACATCATCAACCCATACCTCCGAGGAGGGAAAAGCCGCTGCTCGTCCTGGAGAGCCCTCGTCGCCGCGGCGGGATTCTGCCCGACGTTCTGCTCAGAACGCACCCCGGGGGGAGGTCCAGAGAGTGGCGGTCTCGGATTCTCTCTGTTCCTCCAGTGCATGTCCGCTGTCCCCACCCCCCTGAGATCCGACGTAGCAAAAAAATCGCAACATCGTGAAAAATCACGCCCGCAGCCCTGGACCCGGGCTTTCGTCATTTTTCGAGGAGCATGAAGACATGTGTCACAGACGCCGCAGCTTCGCGGCCAGACTCCGAGTCACGCACAAACACACAACGCATGCTGTTAGATGAGAAGAGTCGCCTGCTCCGATTGACGGATTGCGGCCTCACCGATAGTTGAGGGCCCCCTGGGGCCCGAAAACAACATGTCCCCACACCCCCTGAGATCCGACGTAGCGAAAAAATCGCAACATCGTAAAAAATCACGCCTGGAGCACTAGACCCCGCCTTTCTGCGTCACTCTTCGAGCCGGATCGATTTGTGAGGGCCCCCAATCTCTTCGGCCTTGGCGTCTCAAAGGTTCGGCCCTGGCGTCTCAAAGTGTTCGAGCTGGGCCCGAAAAAAAAAAAAAGATGCCGAGACGCCCGGCTCGAACATTCTGAGGCGCCAGGGGTCTCGGGGCCTGGCAAGGCGCAGGCACTGGCCCAGGAGCCGGGCCCAGGTGTCGCCGAGCGCGTGCCACGGCTCGCCAAGGGCCTTTTGTCGCAGACTTCCGACGAAGGGCATGTCTGCGCTGCTGTGATCTCTCGCAGAGCCTTCTCCTCCCTCTCCTCCTCGATCCTCCTCGATCCTTCTCCTGCTCGCAGAGTGCCTACTCGCAGACTTCCGGCAAAAATGCAGGTCTGCCTTGCTCCGCCTGTAAGAGGACATGCGGGTACTAAGGGCAGGTTTAAGTCGGGCATGTCCCTCGACAGGAGAAATCCTCAAGAACAGTGAGAAAACACTCTGGGGACGATTTTTCGAGCTTGCTCTTTCTGGACCATGTTTGACCATCTGTTTTGCATCTCTTTGACTTGTCTTCGCCTGTAGGAGGACAGGCCCGACCCGAGGGCAGGTGCGCGTCGTGCTAGCAGGCGGCCACCCCGCCGCCAGCGTGCAGCGTTGGACGCCCCCGGCGAGCCAGGATGGGTCGAAGTCGAGCGAGCCCGCGATCGAACAGCCGCAGGTCGTGCCACAGGGCTGGACTTGAACGATGTTTTTGGCGATTTCGTGGGCCGTTTTCGTTTTCGATCTCGTTTTGCGGTCGAAGTCGAACGATCCCGCGATCGAACAGCTGCAGATCGTGCCACAGGGCTGGACCTAAACGGTGTTTTTGGCGATTTCGTGGGCCGTGTTCGGTTTCAATTTCGTTTTGCGGTAAAAGGCGGATTCGGGACAAAAGCGAGGGAAAGCGAGAGCAAAACGAAAACGAAGAACACCGTTTAGGTTCAGCCCTGTCGTGCCAGGCTCAGGGATCCACGCGGTGCCAGAAGA